TAAACATGTAAATCATGCTTAGCTACTTGACTGAATTTGGTCCACAGGCTACAGCTTGCGGACTACGGAAATAGGTGAATATGGAGGATTCTCTGGGAGTCACTGGCTGGGAGGAGGGGAGGAGGCTTGGAAAGCTCTGGGGTGTGGGGTGGGGGGGGGCTGTGTGGGAATGAGGAAGAGAGAGAGAAAGCTGGCATTCAGGACAGAGGGACCACCTTTACCTCGGCACTCAGGGAGTTCTTCCATACGTACAACCGTGTACCTGTTATTCTTAAACATCCCAATTCTCATTCCCCTTCAAAACTCCACTTGTGTCAATGAACATCTCTACAAGGAGGTCCCAGCCTCCTGGCAAAGTGCTGATTACATTGCCTGAGTACCTCCCCCAGAGCCGTTCTGTGCCTAATGGGGCTCTGGTTCTCCGTGATGTGCTCCTCAGTGCATTTCATACTCTAGCACCCTGCAGAACAATTTGGTGTTGCTTATTCCTACAAATTTGTGTGGCTTTAGTGCAGCCAGTCTTTAAAGGATGCAAATAACAGACTCTTTTAAGGGGACAGGGCCTGCATTTTCTGCACTTCTCAGTTGTTTGCACGGAGATAATTGTATTCCCTATTCTGGTTCAGAGCCACTAAATAAATAGATAAGCAAACAAACAAACAAGCAAACAAACCCATAAATAAATAACATAAGACTTTTGTTCCCCCTTTTAATGAAACAATCTTATCCACATTCATAGCAATAGCTGTGGACTCCTTCCTTGCTCGGATGTGTGTGAGCAGAATCAGAGACTCAAGAAGCTGAGCCGGGAAAAGCTCATGTTCCTACCTCACCTTCAGTGGGAGCAGCGACTGTGTCCGGCCACAGAGGTGCCCAAGTGTCCTCTCCTTAAAACAGTCCCGAGACAGCTATTTCATAACCCCCTTCCAGAACCATCCTCAAATACAAGCCACGTGACCCTGTACTTTAAATATACAGGTTCTCAGTAGGCTGTCTCCTATGCGGGGCTGTGGAGCTCAGCACACTGGAGACACGGGAAGATGGATGGCAGGAACGGGGACAGAGGTTTCCCGTGAAGTGGCTGGTGCAAGTCTCAGTATATACACTCCCTTGCGCCTTCGGAAAGAACTTAAGGAAGGTTTTCAAAATGAGGATTTCCAACCTCCACTCAATAAGAACGCTTCTTTTTTGTCTAGCCTCACTACTGGAACTTCATCCATTCCCATGATTCTTTTCAAATATTATCTTTTGCCTACTTAATGCATTTGTTTCTTTTTGTAAATACCCTACTTTAGAGTGGACATGAATCTAACCAGTTAGTTAGGCATGATTAGCAAGCAAAGGGTCTTCCATATTAAAAACAGTTCATTTTCCCTTATTGAAAAAATGGAGACATTTGAATCCCTGAATATGCTCATTTATCACCAGCCCCCAACAAGGCGTCCTGGAATGCTCCATGTAGGACATGAATAATTTTTATAAAAATGCAGTTGCTGACTGTGTCATACATCCACGCAGCTTTAAAAAACAAAGCAAATGATTACCATCAATTACAATAACCTCACTAGACAGACTGCAATTAATCTACAGCTCTTGAGATAACGACTGTTGCGCTGTGCCAAGGAAAATGCCTGGCATTAATTGACTTATCACGATTGGCGATGATAGATGGGACAGATGGCGATGTGATTATTCATTGTCAACAAAATAAACACACACTCTGTTGCCAGAAGTGTCTACTTAGGTCCTCTCAGAGGATAGCCAAAAACAGAGACCAAAGGTGGCTTTGAAGACAGCACAAAATAAAAATAAGACATTAACCTCCAGGATGGGCTATATTTACTTTAACTGGGGCTAACACTCAGTGGAATCCAGTTGGGGGACATTTTCTATAAGGAAATCATGGACTGCATGGGATTTCAGCACTAGAAGGTACATTCCTTGCTCGTGAGGATATGAGATGAGTCACTCTTATGAAGTCCTCAAATTCCATTCCATGCTTGATAATTCCAGTGATGGGAATTCACTATTTTCAGAGGCAAACTCATTCCATCGATGGAGCGCTCTCATTGTTAGAACGCATATTTATTTAGTTGAACTCCATCTTTCTAGGACTTCCATCCATGGACTCTAGGTCTTTTCCCTCATGTCACAGAGAAGGTGCCAAACTTTTCTTGGTCACTAAACTCTTAAATATCTCAAAGGCTAATACTTAGCCACGTGACATTGTTTTGGTGCTTCCAGCATTCTGATTTCTTATACCTAAACCCACACCAGTTCAGAGACCACTCATACTGAGACCACTCATATTGAGGGGCTGGGAAAGAAAAGTAACACAGCTGATGTGGTCTGCCCAAGACAAGGTGTAATAGTACTTATGCTGAGGCCAATGCTCTGGCTTGCCTGCTTGGGAAGCTGTTCGCCAAATCTCATCCGTCTAGACAGCACCCCAGCTTTGCCATTTGCCATAACACCCAGGTGCCCTTTTTAATTTTTGTGTAGTATGGTTTTGTTGATTAAGTCCTCATTGTTTAGAAAACTGGGATAATTCAGGCATATTTTGAGCTAAAACTGGCACAGTGGTCACTCACCAAAATCTCTTGGGGGGAATTTATACAAAGGTGCATATCTGGACCCCACTCCCTGAGACCCTGATTCAATTGCCCTAGGGCAGGATTCAAATGTAAATATTTTGACAACGGTCCCCAGTTAATTCTTACTTGCAACTATGTTTAGATTCTTTCTTCATTGAAAGCACTTAATAATGTGCTAGTGGAGTGAGTGCTTCACAAACCTAATCATCAGACTCTCCTGGGGGCTTTAAAAATGCAGATTCCTTGGAGTGCCTGATACCTGTGGTCTGGGTATGTCTAGGAAAATTAGTACTTTGAGAGATCAACTTGTTATATGTTTCCGTTAAGGATTTTGGAGACACTCATTTACTCCAAAATTGTAGTTCCTATACAAATTACAATGCACCCTTATCACACACTGAAGAAAAAGGCAATTCTAAGGAATTCTACAAAGCAAAGATTTTAGCCAAGTAACCATCCACATTTTTTCACTCATTCATTTAATAAATTCATTAAGAAATTAATTTTTAATTGGAGGCAATATTATGATAAGGATCAGTGAGGGAAAAAAGCAAAGAAATCAAAGCAAAGAAATGAGCAAGTAAACCAACAAATAAAAGTTACAAATACTGAAATAATATGTACTTAAAAAGGAAGTGTTTATCTAATTTAGAATATTCCCTAATTCAGACTGGCAGGCCCTGGTCACTCTCAATTCATGGATTTTTGCCCTGCTTTCATCATCTTCCCTGCTATACTCTAGCTCAGAATCTGCAATTCTCGGGAGTTTTTCCATTAGGGTGCCTTTGGCAGACATCCCTAATCAATCCTAGCATTTTTTTTTCCTATGGATCCAGGAAGGAGGCTCATTCCTGCTCAACCCTGTGCTCCAAGCAGCCATTACTAATAGAGCACAGATGAGCTGAGCTCTACCTGAAGCTTCCCCAATACACACAAGGTCCTGACACAGGTTGGTGCCTTTGTTGTTCATAATTTCCTGCTTTATCTTTGTTGTCTATCAACTCTTGAGTACTACCAATGTTCCTTACATCTGCAATCCCACTTAATTTTCAAAATAACCTAATGAGGTGTGTAAACTCAGCCTTAGAAGGATCAAGAAACCATCTCAAGATCACACAATAAGTGTGTATTAGAGCAGGACGTACAAACTCTGGTTCTTTGACTCCAGAGCTGATGTTCTTAGACATTATTCTGCATTTCCTCTCTTCTTAGCCCAGTTCAAAGGGCCCCTCCTCTGGGACACTTCTCCTGACCCCTTCAGGGAAAATCTGTCACTTCTTCCTTGAGTTGGCCAGGGTCTTTGTACATCTCAGAATACTTTAATAACAGAATACCTCAATGATTTGAATATAGTATTCTTTGAACTCCTTTGTGGTAGGAGCTTTGCCCTTTTTTTTGTTTTGTTTTTTGTTTTGTTTTTTAATCTTTGTATCCCTGGTACCTAGGAGAGAGCCTAGTAGATTCTCAGTTGATACACTTTGAACAATCATTAAAATCTGGCCAAGGGACTCCTTAAGGTTGGCTTCTCTTTTTCAGTGTATGGCTTTACTATATTAAAAACAATGCCAGGTTTAAACATGATGTTGATTGAAAAAAATTAAAAAGACTAAGTCAATCGTGAGATACATACTTCTGTTATTTTAAAGCTTTCTTGACCTCAGTTACTGAGGACTTTTAAACAGAAACATAGTTACCGACTATTTAGCATACAAGCCCCCCAGACCCCTAAATGATAACCACCCTCAAGTGTAAGAGGACAAATTAAATATACCATGCTTGTCAAGGGTCAGAATCCAGATAATATGTGTTTAAGCTGTATCTCTCATCCTATAATTGAAGCTGGTTTGGCTCACTGCTATGGTCTGAGTCCTATCTGGGTTGATGGTGGCACATAGTGATATTCACCATTAATGGTGACATACAATGACATTTCCATTCTGTAGAAAGTCAGGCAGACTATTTAGTTGCCTGACATTTATTTCACAGTAAGTTATAGTTTTGTGCAAATAAGATCCATTTTGCCAGAAGGAAGAAATTATGGAACCTATACTCTCATATGAGAGGCTGATGGTCCAAGTAGGTGTAAGTGAAGGTGTGCATGAAAAGTGAGGGTTTGGGGTTAAAATAATGCTCCAGAGATACTGTAGGGCATGAGTCACGATAGCTGCACCAATGTCTCAGAAGGAAATACCCAGTTTCATTGTGGCCTTCCCTAGAAAACACTGGAAGCACGTTTATAGACTTCCACGTCAACTTGCAAAAGACAGATGGAGAAAGGAGGCACTGACCTTCTCATTTCACAGATTTAAAAGAAAGCTTTCCATCTGTTATCCCACCTTGGGTATAAATAGGCACCAAGTCTTATTAATTGGCACTCAACTTTAGTACTTCAACAGCCCCACATACCTCCCCAGAGAAGGCTTGTCCGTTGAGGAGGTGCTCCGACCCTTGGCTGTCCTCACTCCCGAAGTGTAGTCGGATCTCCTCCAGTCGGTGGCTGTATGTCATGGGCCCTCCTGATATGTTAACCAAGTGTTCCTTGTCCAGGCGCAGGGACACATGTCTTCCAGTGTTGTACATGGTCCCACTGACCTGCAAGGCAATGCACAACAGGTCATGCAAGGCTCTCGTTCTGTGTCTCACCAAACCCAGCATGGTGCTTAGACCAATGCCTTTTGCCTCCTCTTGATAGGCAAACATTAGGCTAAGTCTATATATGAAATAGGGAGTAGCAGTACCTAGAAGGCATTCCTGCCCTACCTGGCTTATGTGGTACTTTCTGCGAGGCATAAACCACATTTACGATCACATGATCATGTAGGAATTTGAGGTAGGAATTCAAAGGAGACCTCAGCAACTGTGACTAATATTTTGGACATTGCACTTTAGAAAAAATAACTCGTCCCTCTTAACAACAGGTGCTGGCAAGGATGTGGAGAAGGAGAAGAAGGTCAGTGGCAAGGCAAACTGGGGCAGCCTTTTGCAAAACAGTATGGAGTTTCCTCAAAAAGTTAAAAAAAGATCCACCCTTCAATCCAGCAATCACACTACTAGATATTTACCCAAAGAATACAAAGACACTAGTGCAAAGGCATACATGCAACCCTATGTTTATAGCAGCATTACTAACAAGAGTCAAACGATGGAAGCAGCCCAAGTATCCATTGACAGATAAATGAATAAAGGATATATATATATATAAAGAAGATATATATGTGTGTATATATATATATATATATATAATGGAATATTACTCAGCCATAAAAAAGAATGGAATCTTGCCATTTGTAGCAACATGGATGGAGCTAGAGAGTATAAGGCTAAGCAAAACAAGTCAGTCAGAGAAAGACAAATACCATATGATTTCACTAATATGTGGAATTTAAGAAATAAAACAAATGAGCAAAGGAAGAAAAAAAAGAAAGAGAGACAAATCATGAAAGAGACTCTTAACTCTAGAGAACAAACTGATGGTCACCAGAGGGGAGCCAGGTGGGGAGATGGGTGGAACAGGTGATGGGGATGAAGGAGTGTGCTCGTCACGAGGAGCACCAGGGGATGTATAGCAGTGCTGAATCACTATCTTGTACACCTGAAACTAATACTACACTGTATACTAATACTACACTGAATTAAAATAAAAACTTAAAAAAATAACTTGTCCCTCTAACCCTCAGTATTTGGAGTGTAGAGATACTGTAAAAGTTAAAATCTCAGATGTGAGAAATTGGAGAAAGCAAGAGATGCTCAAAGGCCAACTGAGAGACAAGGAAGCCAAAAATGGGTAAACAGGAGCAAACCGTCATGGGAGACTGAAGGCTTTGGTCTGAAGTCTCAAGTGTGCAGTCCCATGTGTCTTTGTTAGGTCCCTCTCTTGCCCTGGCCACCAGATGCTGCTGCACAGAATGTGAGCTCTGACCCCTTCTCAGAGCTCAAGGACTCAGTGCTAAGCTAAAGAGATGGATGCAAGTTTCCCATTTCCCTTCCTCACTCCTGATTCCATCTTGCTTCAGCCTCTCAAACTGCTGACCTTACTGCTTGATGTTCCCTTTCCTTCTTTTCTCTTTGAACTTGATATTCAACTTCATTTTCTTGACTTAGCACCTCTAAACACTTGAACCCTGGTTCCTACCTGTGACCCTACTGCCTTTGTCTCCTGGGTTGACTTAGCTCTTGGGGCAGAACAAAAGCTTAAAGGAGACTCTGACTGGGTCTGAATGGAATGCTTCTGGACTCTCAGGGCTGAGATACTTGGATTTTCTTCCTGCTTATTCTGACTCATTTGGGCCCAGCCACCTGCCCTAGGGATTCCTTAAGGGCTTCATGTAACATATGATACATTCCTTAGTCATGGTTTCCTACATTTTCTCTCTAGCACTATCCTTACCTGCCCCTCCACCTTTCTGACACTAGTGATAATCAGATAGGGCTGCAGATGGCTCACTGTGGCGGACAGAGTAACGCCCCCTAAGTACTCCATTGACTCATTTTGCTGTAAGGTGGAGCCCATGTGACTGACGTTGGCCATGGGGTATGACGGTACACAACAGGTGTCCCTTCCAGGGTGAAACTCTGGAAGTGAAAAACTTAACATGCGCAAGTCTCCAGTCCCTCGCTTCCCCTGCTGCCTCAATCCCTGGGGCCACATGGAAATATGTAATGTTCTATTGCTACAAGATGGAGGTCATGCCAGCCTGGGTGCTTGGCAGATTAAAGGGCAGATTGCAAAAACGGCCAGAATTCTTCCCCTCCCTGTAACTGCATTCTTTACAGCGTGACTCTGTAGCTGTTCCCTTCCACATAGGGTTCTGCTTCTCTCCCTCTTGACTCTCGGCTGGCCTTGTCACTTGCTTTGGCCAACAGGGGATATGATGTCTGTGCTCCGAGAGGCCTTGCACATTTCCTCACTCCTTCTTGGGAACTTGAGGCCACCATGTCAACGAGCCTGGGCTAGCCTGCTGGGGGACGACATGACACTGAAGAGGAGAAGGCTTCCTCTTCTCCCGGGACGCCTTCATGGCTGACCTGCCAGCTGACTGGCCCAGCCGAGGTCAGCTTAGCCTTGCCCAGACCAGAAGAACCGCCCGCAGACCCCCAGACTTGGAAGCTAAATAACTGGGGTTTTAAGTCCCTAAGTTTTGGAGGTAGTCTGTTATGGAGCAAAGGCTAACTGATAAACACTAGGTCAATCATCTTGCCCCTCCTGAATCTGGAACTATCAACAGAAACTCTGTTGAGGGCCTGGCAGTGTTGAGTACCTGAACTGGAAAGTCACGTGGGGTCCAGAGACTCAGCCTGCTAGGTAGCTGGAAGTCAGACCAGAGAGGAGAAAAGCAGATGTGCCAACAATGACAGAGGAAACCGTGCGTTGAGAGACAGAACAGCCACTTGACCTTCAGAAATCCTTCCCCTCTCCTTGTTTGCAGTTCCTTCATGAGGCCTGAGCTGCATTTTCTCAGATGCTTTACATCTTACCAATAAATTAATTTTTTCTCACGTTATCTATTCTTTGCCATTCTGACTAGATCTTGCCATTTGCAACGAAGTGGATGGAACTGGAGGGTGTTATGTTGAGTGAAATAAGTCAATCAGAGAAAGACATGTATCATATGACTTCACTGATATGAGGAATTCTTAATCTCAGGAAACAAACTGAGGGTTGCTGGAGTGGTGGGGGGTAGGAGGGATTGGGTGGCTGGGTGATAGACATTGGGGAGGGTATGTGCTATGGTGAGCGCTGTGAATTGTGCAAGACTGTTGAATCACAGATCTGTACCTCTGAAACAAATAATGCAATATATGTTAAGAAAAAAAAAAAGAAGAAGAAGAAGATAGCAGGAGGGGAAGAATGAAGGGGGGGAAATCAGAGGGGGAGACGAACCATGAGAGACGATGGACTCTGAGAAACAAACTGAGGGTTCTAGTGGGGAGGGGGGTGGGGGGATGGGTTGGCCTGGTGATGGGTATTAAAGAGGGCACGTTCTGCATGGAGCACGGGGTGTTATGCACAAACAATGAATCATGGAACACTACATCGAAAACTAATGATGTAATGTATGGTGATTAACATAACAATAAAAAATTTAAAGGAAAAAAATTTACATTATAAATTTAAAAAATGCTTAGTGAACATGTATTAAAAATAATTTTAGGTTTGTATTAAAAAAAAGTTATCTATTCTTTGCAACCAGATAATCCCAAAGTGTGTACTCCTCCAGTCTCAAATAAATGCATATTTAGTCAGTATGAGATCATGAGAGCTTGTCATTTTTTCATGTCCCAACTCATGATTTTCTTGGCAATAAAATGGTCAGAGATAGGCTTGTGTTTGACATTGCATCTATCATTAAGTAAAAATTACTTTTTCTAATATTAAGATGATATACAGGTATTATATGTGGTTAAAAAGATATAGAATGGCTCAAGGAAATAAAAATCAGCCACAATTCCACAATTACCCAATGATCACCACTAATATTTTGATATATATAATTCTTATACCTATATATACTATAACATATATGTGTGACTATCTATACCCATATTTTAACAAGATCGTTTTATATGTGTGTCTGTGTAATCAGATAAGTGATTTTTCACACACACGTGCATATATATATATATATATATATGTTTGTATATATGAATATATACTATTATTTATAATATGCTATGTGTAATATTAATATTTTAATGATACTATATAGTATATATTGTTATATATTAATACATATTAATATATTGTAATATATTATATTATAATTGCAGTACATTTTTGCAATAGTGAAAAAGTGAAGGGGATTTAAAGATGTATTTGCAATAGTGAAAAAGTGAAGGGGATCCCCTTCACTTTTTCACTATTGCAAAAATGTACTGCAATGAGCATCCTATGGATAAATTAGTGTCGTTAATCCAGGGATATTGCAGTTGGCAAATTCTGTGTCAAGTGGTGTACACATTATTACAGTGCTTACTATCTATTGCCACATCCATTGGCTGTGGAGAGCAGGTCCCACAGAGCAGAGCTGGATCTCGGTAATTCTCTTCAAATGACAAAAAGAACAGCACCATGAGATTCAACCAGTAATATCCATGGGCACCCATGGTGTGCGAGGCAGTGTAAAAGGAACTGCTCTGAACTCTTTTTTTTTTTTTTAAGATTTTATTTATTTATTTGACAGAGACACAGCGAGAGAGGGAACACAAGCAAGGGGGAGTGAGAGAGGGAGAAGCAGGCTTCCCACTGAGCAGGGAGCCCGATGCGGGGCTCGATCCCAGGACCCTGAGACCATGACCTGAGCAGAAGGCAGACGCATAACCGACTAAGCCACCCAGGTGCCCCAGTGCCCTGAATTCTTAGAGGATATATGCTCTGTCCCATTAGGGAAGTATCTGGGGCTTTCCTGCACTTCTAGAAATCTTTCCATCTGTGCCCGTCTAATGTCTAATGTTCCTAAGAAAACTGTTGCACATTGAAACAAGGCAAGGACCAGGTGGTATGCTTGTCTGTATTTCCCCAGGACATAGAAAACCTACTGGCACATAGCAGGTGGAAGAATGAAGGATCCTTGAGTCAAAAGATTCCC